CAAGTAGCGCATTGAGTGCGAGCCCGAACATTGTCATAAAAATGTTGCTCCGCAGACAGCTTGCCAGTTTCTGTGCAGCCTGCAGCCTCCAGTTTCGCTTAGCGGTTTCACTTCTTTTTTCTATTTTCATTTTTATTTTATATTTTTTTTAACAAGCGGACTGCTACCAAACTGAAATATGAATTTCTTTTGTGCACATGTATCCCATGCTTGTGCCATGGAAATGAAAGAAATTGCCATGATAATAAAAAGCTCGCACAATTCTAAGAAAAAATATCTTATTTATGTCCTGAAGCTGTAGTTCATGCTTCGTTTGCAAGTGGTTGCTAGCCTCAATTGCGTGGCCTACATTTTGGTCCAGAAACGAACAAAAGCCAAAAAGCAAACCAAATGTCTTAATTAATGTGGCAAATACCATTAAAAGGAAAATGCACGAGCGAGTGGCTGCAAAAACATATTCCTAAATAATGCTAGGTACATTTAGAAATAATAGATGTAAGCACTAAAAAACATTGCCGAAAAATCGAAAAATTAATATTGATTTGAATGTGATTTAATGCTCCCAATGAATTATTACAAAATGGAAATAGATATTGAGATCTACCCAATGACATAAATTAGGAAACACATTCAAAACTTTTCTCAAAAGGAAAATGGAAAAAAAAAACAAGGACATGCTTGTTCGAAAAACATAATTCGTTCACAATCCCTTTAACGTAGAGGTGGAGAAATACAAATAGAACAAGTGGAAAAGCTAAAGTTGTGTGTTCCGACTTTGAAATACGCTGTACCTACAAACATATGTGTACAATAATTAAATAACATACAAATACCTTTTTTCATAAAACAAAAACGTAAACAAGATTGAACGCTGCAGTCGAGCAAGCCCAACAGTAAAATACCCTGTACTCACCACAAAAAAAGGAAAATTAAAAAAAAAAATTTAAAAAGTTTATTAATTTAATTAGTTAATTAAAATAAGTATAAAATATTCAACACATGCATATAATGAATTTACATCAGAATCGTGTCTCCGCGTGATTATATGCGTGTATGTATGCAGCACAAAGTTGAATCAAAGTAGTAACAACAGCAACAGGTGCGGGAAGCGCTGCAGGCATAGCATGCGATTTTATTTATGGCTATAACTTTTTTCATAATTGACCTATCATGATGAAACTTGGTATACGGATATATAATTACTAACTGACTTCCAAATTTTAGTTCAAAATACCAAGAATTACGGGAGTTATGGATACCAAGTTAGGTTATTCTAGCTCTTATACTTTCTGAGATCCTTGGGTTCATACAGACAGACGGACAGACAGACAGACGGGCAGACAGACAGACAGGTGGACATATAGACGGACAGACAGACGGACATGGCTATATATTTTATATTAATCCAAAAAATTGGATTTATACAGGGTGCGCCATCTTTTATGTCGGTATGTAAACATTGAATATCTTTGAAAATAAACAACCGATTTTCAAGTATGAGATATTTTTATTTAATTTGGTCCTGTACAATTTCTTGAACTGAGGTTTTCAACACTGGTCTACCCAAGTCAATCGGTTCACTAATGACAAAGTTATTCAATATTTACATACCGACACCCTGTATATTGCACTATATTTTATAAGTATATCTAGTATTTTGTTAAGAGCCATGGATTCTGAATGGATTTGCAAAAAAGTTAAAATTTTTCCTTTAGACGAGTCATCCTGTCTGAAACAATTTTCCCAGCTTTACCGAACAAGTGTTTACCCTAGCCTAGGTGAAACCTATTCAAATGGTCCTGTAAATTTTGTAGTGTTGCCGTTCGTCTTGCATTCTTTTTTTTTGGGCGAATTTTTTTTTTCCGTGATTCTCCTTTTTATTTGTGGTACTCACATTAGAATATTTACTGTTGTAATATGTAGCATTGCGCTTCTTGACTTAGAGTTTCCTAACTTTTTTAAAGGAACGCGTTAATACAAGTATAGCATTAATGTACAGAATTTATTGAATTACTTCTTCGCTGTAATACTTGCTGAATCAAATTGTGATGATTAACATGATAGACTTTCATAAAATTTTCATTCCATTTACGCAGTGGTAAACGTTGAATGTAGGCAAGAGTATTTGCTCATGTAGTAGAATTAATTTTATAAATCCTTGTAATAAAATATTGGATAAACAGGTCTGGCAAAAAGTCACAAAAGTTAATCAACTCATAAGTCAAATGTTTGCCGAAAGTACATACATACATACATATGTACATATATTGCAAGAGCAAATACGAGTGACAGTGCAGTCGTTAGGAAGGGGTGGGGGATGGGTGAGATAACTGCAACAATGGCAAAAGAAGTTTGGCAACTAGAGTTGGACTCTGGCATGTGTACAGACAAACAAAACTGCCATGGTTGCAAACACAGATACAGAGACAGCCAAACACATATACAGTTACTGGGACAGAAGTTAGGGCAGATACTGTTGGAGCAGTGTCCAATGTGTCTTTACACAGTTGCAGTTTCAGAGTGGATGTTCCACAAACGGCCGACTTGGTGCATACATATATGAGTATGTATGTCGAATGCATTATTTTGCATGGATAACTGAACAGAAGTGAAATGCGTTGGTTGTAAATTTTTTTTTTTTTTTTTGCATTGCGTATTAAGTCAAGTAATTTGGTTCAATGTAAGTTTTGTTAGTCTGGGACTAGAGGCGACCAAAAAACATTTGCCCAAAATCCGTTAAGAGATACCTGCCTCTGCTAAGGATGATATTCCACATTCTCTGACATTCCTCATTCTATACTCTGGTTCCTTTTAAATATTTGATCGTTGCGTATACGCCTAGTAAGTCCAAAGCTAAGCTTTTAAGCTCAAAAATTTTAAGTTGCGGTTGCATATGTATAATTTATACACATAATATATACATATAAATCCATACATATAGCACATATACTATGTATACATATTTTATGGCTGCTACGTAAATCAGAGGAATTAGAAAATAAACACAACTATATATGTATGTATATAGGTATACTACTAGTACTATATATGTTTGAATGTCGTGCGAGTGAATCAAAATGCAAAATATTGCACTTGTCGTATTCAGTTGCCTTGGATTGCTATAATACAATTTCTTATTAATAAACAATCTTTGTAAGCCAGCTCATGTCTTCAGCTTGTCGGCACGTGTTTTTTGTTGTTGTTGCTTTCTGTCGCAACCTTCGCCCAGCAATCTGATTTCCAAGATATTGTGCATTCAGCTAAGAAAACACAGCACATTTATTTCCGAGCTGGTGCGGAGCAAAGCTAAGACAAGTAGCCAACTAGCTAACCAGACACCCCAACTCGACCAACTTGAACAAGCGTTGTTCAATAAACAGTAGAAACCGTGCCCCGTTCCTCAGCATTTTTACTGCTTTGCTGCTCGGTCCGCTGCCAGGATGCATCATTATTTTCTGTCATCATTATATTCTTGTTGACTGCTCTGTTTTTTGTTGTTGCCATTGCTGCTTCCTGTGCCACGCGTTTTCTTTGGTTGCCCCACGGAAATTACAGCAAGCTCATATTGCTCACACGTATTGTATATTTTGTGTGTGTGTGTGTGTCTGTGTACACATATAAAAATGGCATATATGGTTTATATGCAGGAAATTGTTTAGTGAGCATCATAAAGTAAGCAGCTTCGTCTGCATCTCAGTCTCTGCATACAGCGGATGTTGCACAACGCTCTGCCTTCCTGTGGCATCAAGGAAGTAAAGCCGCCAAGTTTTGCCATAGACTGGCCAAAGAATACTCGTATAATAACGAGCTACACCGACTGAGCAAAAAGCAAGAGCTATATTGCAAATGCATTCCTTTATGTTTGAGCTGAGGATACCTGTACGAGCGTTTGAGTTGGACAAATACTTTGATGAGCTTGATTAGAGAGCTATAAAAATGCAAGCCATTGACTAAAGAGTGTTGTCTAAGTACCGACTACTTATATGTCTCTGTGCATCACTTAAAGTCTAAATGCAAAATCGGGCACTATTGAATTTGCTTGCTAATGCTTCTTTTGCGCCGTCAGGAACATTTTTTGGGAAATAGAAAGACAAAAGACTATATTAATGTTATTATGCCTATACTGGTATAAATATATTATATTATTCCTATGTCTTTCAACTTTGATTGTTAATAAATTCATAGTTTCTTTAAACTTAAACACGTTTATATATAGAGAGATTTTGAAAATTTCTACGACACTCAACTGAAAGCATCACTTAAAGTCTAAATTCAAAATCGGGCACTATTGAATTTGCTTGCTTATGCTTCTTGTGCACACTCACGAAACTTTTTTGGGAAAAGTAAAGTCAAAAGACTATATTGAATGTCAATATGCCTATACAGATATAAATACTATGTATTATACTATACATAGTATGGTTTTTATTCCTACTATATACTTCAGCTTTGATTCATTCATTCATTCATTCATAAATGCATAGTTTCTTTAGATTTAAACATGTTTATATATATAGAAAATTTTGAGTCGCCAATCCGTCTTTTACATTTTTATCTTGGCCAAACGATGTTAAAGGAATGGAAATTTAATGTTCAAACTTTTAACTAAGCTTTGTTAATATATCTTCGAAAAAAGGGTTAGGAGCCGATTATGTCCGATTATTACGAATTTCATGAGTCATTCATGAGTCAAAAGCCGACACGTGGTCAAAACAAATGATGAAACGTACATATTTCATTCGACGACAAGTCGGCCCCTAATTATAATGTGATTTCATTGTTAGAAATCGAAAGACTGTTTTTTAAACTTCTTCACTCTGCAGATTTGGCATGTCGTTTTGAAGGACCCATTATATATATATTTAAATTAAATATAATCAAAGAATAAATAAATACAATATCGCTGTTTCATTGAAAGAACCCAACAGTTCGCCACAATGAATAACTTTAAAATAATTTTTGAAATTAGGTAAAAAGGTAAACAAAAGATGCAGACGAACCTTTTTTGCGTCGCTGATGGACAATGAACCAAGCGACTAGAGCTGCATTGACCAGCAAAAAGCCGAATGCAGCCAAAGATATGCCAATTATGACCATATTCGAGGTGCTGGAATCTTGCGTTAACTCAGTTGGCAAAAGTTCAATTCCTGGATCGATGCAGCAACAACATGAAAGGATGAAAATAAAGGAGAAAAAACACAAGAAATATGGTAAATATAAAAAAGAAAAAGCAAAACATAACAGAGCAAATAAGACAATAAATAAATACGAAATGAAATGAGAAACTGTAATAAAAATGTGGGGTCTGTAGGTTATGCGAGTAACGGGGTGCGTAACGGGATCTGCGGGCATATTTTGCCGGCCTTAGAGTCGGGCTTTGGTTGTTCGCTTGCCCACGGATACGTTGCCACAGCCGTTGCCATGAAACGGGCACGCAGCGAAATCAAATAAAAAGAAAAACGCGACGAGTGACGCAAATCACGTAGCCGTGGAATTGGGTCTGGAGCCGTGGCCGGAACATGTGACAGCAAATGAAATTAGCGCGAGATGCTGGCAATGCTCGTAAGGTCCGCGATGCCCACACCGATGACCACATGGCACGTGCAGGAGGAGCCTCTGGAAACACAAATTAAAAGAAAACAGCGACGGGACAGCAGCGGCGGACATTTTCAGAATTATAAATTCAAATGATATGTCCCACAATTTGTAAGCAGCAGTAGGAGGAGAAATAGCAACGGCATCAACAACAACAACAACAATGGCAGCAGTTCGTATTCCTCTATGGCCTGACAGTGTGTGTCTATGTATCGTGATATGTAGAGCATACTGTACCTCTCTTTAGGCGCTTCTCGTTGCGCTTGTGCAGACAACAGCCGATGACAAACACATTGAGAACCACCACCGTGATTCCGGCGGCAACGCCGACCAGCAGCATGCCCGACGGTCCACCCAGCGGTGTTTGGCTCGTTGTTGGCGGACCACCGCCCAGCGAGGAGGCTGGTTGGGAGGGAGGCGGTGCCTCTGCTTTATAGTTGTAGTTGGTAGACGTTAATGTAGTCGCCGCCGTTGGTGTATCGTTGACGTTGTTGATGACCATAATACAATTCCAATTAAGTGCAGCATGCGGCAAGGCAAGAAATCATTGAGTGAAGAATAGGAACGGCAGCAACAGCAAACAAGCTGCACAAGCAAAAAGTACCCAACGAAATAATAACATCGGAGATCCGCAACTTTTATACCCTTGCAAGTATTTCCTTTTCAAGGTAGAATCATCATCGACTATACTCACACTTATTAATTGCTGATAGAACATTTATGTGTATTGAAGCTTCTGTTATTTAAATCTGCCCTTCTCAAAAGCAATCTAGACTTTCTTTTAAATTATTGATTCATCATGATATTATTGCTTATCATTATGAACTTATTCCTTATGTCAATGTATACTACCGGACACTGTCACGTAAAAAGCTACAGCTAAGAGCTTTAAAAACATTTCCAATTTAGCCAAACAATTTCCTTGCTGTCACGGAACGTTTTCCAGGTACTCATATTTCATTTCCGGACTGCGTCAAAAATGGCTTTCAGAGTGACAGCCCTAGAATTTACAAATACTCTACATTGGTACAGTCAAATAAATGTAAATTAATGAAGTTATTACAGCTGTAATTAAAATTTTTTACTGACAATTTCTTGACATAGTTCGATTGAACAATTCATTCATGTGTTTGGCTAAATTAATGGTTGAAAGTTTTATGTGACAAATGGGAATGAATTGTTTTTTTTTTTATTATCAAATACGGTTCACATGAAATTTATAAACTATTGTTCAAATAAATAGTTTCATCACTTATTGTCAAAGTCTAGAAACCTTTTGTATTCTTTATTGAGATTATGAATAATCAATTGGGGTATTTGGTGTTTAGGCTGCAGGGTTTCATAAATATTACGCATGCGCCGTGTTGGCTTTCGAAACAGTATACTAAAAATATTTCCTCCTAATAAATTTGTCGTAAAAGGGGCTCTATACAATTTGACAACTAATTTTGCAATACTCCACATGCAAGGGTATAAAAAGGCATAACTACACCGAGCGGCACGAAGTAGTCGGCACGGCCTGGGGTTAGATCATTTTCGCCAAATTTCAGCTGGGCGCACATAAAAGCCAAATGGCGAGCCGTATAAATCAATGTCAACGGTACGCTGGCCCAAGTGTCGCAAGGAGTCATAGGGAGAGCTGAAAATGGCAGTGACTGGACAACTGGCGGCTAATTTGAATATTTTGTGCGGCTGCGTTGTCACAGACCCATAGGGTCCTAAAATGGTGGGTGTACGTTGCTTACCTTTAGTCTGAGCGCGCGCCAAATCCGGCAGATATGGGGAGCTGCCCAAGTCATTGTAGGCCATCACAGAGAACAGATATAGCGTGTTCATGCGCAGGCCGCTGATGGTCAGCTTGTGGCTGTTGGGCAGTCCATCGATGTAGCTGTACTGCTCACGGTCCACCATGCTGTGCGTAATTGGAATTTGCATTTTTACATAGTGGCATAGGGATGACGACGGGAGGGGGCGAGCAGTCGGCGGCAGGAGTAGAAAAAAGAGGAAAACGAGTGAGTTTGCAATTTCGAAGGTTATGTTGTGTGTTCTCGACATTTGCAGTAATTGAACTGCTCGGCGATACGTACCGATAGCGCACACGATACGAAGCCTTTAGGCCGCCATCGAAGCCCGGTGTCCAGGCTACGGTCACCGAATCGTGCGTTACATTTAATATGTTCAGACTAAGCGGCGAATCGGGCTGTGACGTTATATCCAAACGCACCGTTTCTACATCTTCCCCCAACTCATTGCGTGCCACACACTCATAGGCTCCGTAATCGGCTGGAGCCACTTTCTCCACTATTAATGAGGACTCGTATGTCAGCGAGTCGATCTTGCGTTCCTCCACCTCATATTTGTATGTGTGATTGATGGGTAACTCTTTTTTCTCCTGACGCCAAATGAATTGCGGCTTGGGCGAGGCCTGAGCACGGCATGGTAAGCGACCCTGTTCCCCCGTGCCACTTGCAGCGCGCAATTGTGTCGGAGACTTAGCAATTTCGGGGGCAACTATTTTGGAAGTAGAGGGAGGTTTGCAAAGTATATTAGTACAAGTTATATACATACGTTAGCGAATTAAAAACGTATTACGGCTTATTGAGAGTGAAAATACTCATGTATTTATCGTTTCACCTATTTGAAGAAGTTTTTCAACCCAAAACAAATAGGAGATTTTTATACTCTGTACATGAAATGAACCAGTGTATATTACGCTTGCGCGAGCTATAAAATGTAACATGCAGAAGGAGGCGTCGCATGTTAGAATGATATGAATAGAATTTGAATTTTTTGAACTTTATAACTATTTTGGTACAATGCCTTCAACTTACTTAAATCATGATTATTACGTCATATTCTTTAAGTATTTCAAAATAATAGTAAATCACCAAAATTCTTTATATTTAAATATTATTTAACCATCTGTTTGGTCTGTTATCAAACGACAGTAATATATGAGACACAATTTGAGCGCGGCTTAAGAAATGAAATGTAATGTAAACTTCACTTACATTTCACAATTAACAGGATATCACGGTTCGTTGGGTTGGCCACGCGATTGTCTGCGACGCAACGAAAGTTTCCGACATCCTCGCGCTGGGCATTCTTAATATGCAGATAGGAGCTACCATTGGAGAACGTTGTCGAGGTCTTCACTGTCATGTCATAGCCGACGCGTTCCCACTTCACATGCTCCTCGGTCAACGGCTTGCCCTCTACATTGCAGGTTAGCATCGCATCCTCGCCGGGATTGACAATGACATTCTCGGATATGGACTTGATTGTGGTGCCATCTGTGCACAATTCGTAATTAGACAACGTTTGGCATGTGGTTAGCATGGGTTGTGGGCTATGGTACTTACACTCTACCACGACTGTAATGTTAAGACTAGCCTTGCCCTGCGAATTGGTAGCCGTGCACGAGTAGATGCCGGCATCGGCTCGATGCAGCTTTGTAAAGTTGAGATTGCCGCCATCTGCATAGATGCGAAGTTCGCCGGAGCCAGAGCCGTTGGCCTCATGCGGTATGGGAACACCGTCTTTTGTCCACGTGTAGGCCACCGTCATGGGATTGCCGTTGGCCTGGAGTGATACCTGCAGGGACTCACCCTCTACGCCGACGGCAGTCGATGAGGGAGGCGGAACAAATTTTGGACGATCTGCGGCAGATGTAGCAGTGATTCAGTCTCTAATTGCTCAATTAGTTGCGAAAAGCGAGATGCATTTTACTTACACAGCACATCTAGGCTGATGGCCTCGTGGACGCTACGCTGAAGCGCCTCGTTGGCGCTCTGGCATGTGTAGACCACGCCGTTCATTTCCTGTGTTATGTTTACTTTGAACTCCAGCGTTGAGACCGTGCCGCTCCAGAGGCCTGGCTTGGATGTATTATTAATGCCTATAGGAAGGAAGGAAAAGAAGGGTGGAGAGGTAAAGAAACAGAGGGGAAGAGAGAGAGAGCGAGAGAAAGAGTATGGAATGGGCGTGATTTTACTGACTGTCTGTTTGGTTGTTTGGTTGTTTGGTTCGTTGGGTGCTTGGCTGGCAACCAAAGCGGATGTTGCCGTGCAGGCAACGCCTTCCAAAATGCCGCGTCCATTTTGACAACGACGGCGCCGCCAAGACCCTGCCAATGTGCCAGGACTCGGCATGGGCAATTGTCCAAGTTGCTTACCTTCGATGGGTATACCATCCTTCCACCAGGATAGCTTTGCCGGTGGGTTGCTTGAACTGGAGTCGCATATGATAGTTGCCTCCATGCCAGGTCTCAGCTCTTCCGGTTCAATGCGTATTTTTACCGTCTCGGGCGCAACTGTAAGCAGCGATGAATAGAACAATGGGGTGTTATTAAGTCATTCCGTCGCCATATGCTCCTCAATCGTTACTTACAGTGCACGCTTAGCGTGGTTGACTCAAATAGTGGAATTTCTGTAGCACTATTCGCTGCTTCGCACCGATATTGTGCCTGGTTGTCGGTGACATTCGCCAGAATGGTTATTTCAGCTGACACAGATTTGTCCGCGGTACGTATAATAGAGTTGATCTGAAAGCCAGTAAATGGAAAATGTATTGAGTGCCATTGCCCCAGACTTAAAGATGTAAAAGCAGAAAGACTCAGGCTCCAGATACCTTAAAAGGATAGTCAAAGCGAGCTGTGGCTTCCAAAAACATATGTCGCACCCAAATCCCCAACGAAAATGTGAGCACAAAAAACAAAACAGCTGAACAAAAAGGCAACACAAAGTTTTTGCCTCGACTTTGTTTGTTCAGCGAGCTCTCTGGGCCGCTGATGAGTTGTTGGAAGGAGGGTGGCGGGGGTACTGCGACACATGCAAATAGCTGCAGCAGCAGATGCAGCATGGAGCAGTGCAGAGCCCGCTGGCTGACACATGGCGGGTTGTGTAAACCGACGTGGCACCTTGCTTTGCATTTCATTCTACTTTAACCCTCATCCGAGTACAATATGCTACCCACGTCCCTTACTCAGTCCGCCAACGTTTGCGCATTTTAATTTTGTTGATAAAATATCATTTAATCAGAGCACACACAGATGAGTCCCCAGTGGTTTTCTGTTTGTCCCTTTGTCCGTCGGTCTATGCGTCTAGTGCGGCTAGGGTGCAGCTGACGTCGAAACAGAAGCTCTGCAGAAATCCGCTGAGTAACTTATGTAGGTATATTTATAAAAAAAAACGGAATCTTGTATATCTGGAACCCTTCACTAATTTATAGCTGTTCTGCACTAATTGTTCATATGGAAGTTATATGAAATATTGAAGCGATATCAAAACACTAATAAACTATTTGGTTGTCATAAAAAAGAGCTGAAATTCAAGTAATTTTTGACGAAATATTTTTTGTTTTGGCAAGTTTTTAAATGGAATGGCCTTCGAATATTATTATATTTTTCTAAGCAAATTCTTTAAAATTTATTATAGCTTCACTATGAATATGGGAGCCACTAACCATTTAATGTTATTATCGTTTCATAGAGATACACACGTAATAGGTATTAAAGCGTTACCGGACGAGTTGTGAAAGCAATGACGTTGGCAAAATAACAGAGATAAAATGCCAAACACTGCCTCATTAGCACTTTAAGCCCATAAAGCGGAAACGGAAATGGTCAACAAAAGCGCCATTATTGTTTTGCGGATGTTTGCTGTTGTTGATAGTATTACATGTTCCTTTGGATGGGTGGGTGTTTGTGTGATTTTTTTTTTGTTTTTTGTGTGAACGTCACCACTGCTCTTTTATTCTCTGCTGCATTGTGCACTAAAATGCACAAACAAAACAAAAACTCACCCTTTTGTCGTTTTTGTACCACGTAAGCGTTGCCAACGGATTGCCGCCAGAAGAAACGCAAAGCAGTTTTTGCACCGAACCAGCTGGTATAATTTGTCCTTCCATATAGCCCGAAATTAATGGCGGCGCGGGAGGATCTGCAAAGAGCGGAAAAAGTCGTTGATAAAAGCCAAAAAGCAAACAAGGCAAGCAAAAATTTTGTAGCTTAGGGGCAAAGAAATGGACAAAACTTAGCGGCACTGCTCAACCCAAACTGGTCCTTTCCCTTTCCCGTGCCAAAATTCAAGTTCTGGCCAACCGCGGCGATGTCGAAAGCTGCCAACCGGCAGCACAATAAAAATTAAAATTATTTAATTTGCCGCACATAAAGCGTAAGTATCTACAAGGCGTTTCTTTTTTAGGCCATGTAAGACAAAGCGGCCTTGAATTATCTCATGAGTACCATGGAGCCTACACCAGCAACTGCAGCTCATCAGCACAAAGATAGCGTGGAAGCGCGCGTGCCCGTATTGGGGGAGTCGGATAGGCGGCAAGGACGCCCGTTACTTCGGGGGCTTTTAGTCATTTTCAGCTTAGCCCACAAAGCGTGGTATGGGTAATAAATGTAAATCTCGCAGTCGGGCGTTGGCTGCCTCGGTTTTTGCTCCTCCCCTACTTCGCTCCTTTCATTTAAACTGTTGGTGGAGCTACTGCTTCTGCTGTTTGTGTTTTGATGCTGGTCAGAAAAATTAATTAGCGCTGCAGGAGTAAACAGAAAGCACCACAGCATGGGTGCGGCAGCGGGGGAGCTTTCAAGTACATAAGTACAAAAGGCATACACACAAATACTAGTAGTATGTTTATGTACAAAGAACAACATAGATGGAAAAAGGGCAAATATGTGGGGCTCTAACACCAAAACTAAATATTGTAGCTGCGTAATATGGCTCATTGAAATGGTATTGGATGGATGTTTATAATGTGCTCTATGATTTGCTAATTCATGCACGTATTAAAGGTACTCAGAGCAACTGACTTACTTTTATAATTGCATATCTTTGGAATGAATTTCTTAATACTACATATTAATACTAAATACTACTACTATACTACTAATACCTGTTTAAAGCTATCAAAGTATTATTTGAAAACAAGAGAGAACGCTAGCCCACAAAAAATAAAATAATTCTAAAAATTTTTGTAATTAGTTAAAAAAATTTCAATTTATTTATGAAATGAAATACAAATTACTCAATACATACATATAAAAGTAGTTTATGTACAGTTTCAATAGCAAACAGTTTTGGAGTGCATTATATTTTGGAAATCAAAAAAATAAAACTATCACAGCATACACACATAACGCATCTCTGTGCAAAATTTGGTGTCTCTAGCTCTTATAGTCTCTGAGATCCAGGTGTTCATACGGTCGGACAGACGGACAGACAGACAGACATAGTATTGTCATACTGACCAATATATATACTTTGTGGGGTCTGCCACGCCTCCTTCTGCCTGTTACATTTTTCGAAAAATTAAATTCCAAAAAAATAAAATAAACTCGTCTTTTCTCGGACCTGGATTCCAACTTTGGTTATTGCAGCTTCTATAGGTTCTGAGATCCTTGCGTTCATCCAGACAGACGGATGGACAGACGGACAGACGGACGGACGGACATGGCTAGATCGATTTATCTCGTCACGCTGATTCAGAATATATTTACTTTATGCGGTCGGAGTGCTTGCTTCTGCCTGTTACATACTTTGCTCAAACCTAATATACCTCTCTACGGGTACAGGGTATAAAAATTGCTTTCTCAGTATCTCACAGTATGGTTTGCAGAAAAACCACGCCAGGCATTTGGTCCACTAAAGTTTTTTGCTACGTTTTTCCAGATTCTTTTTTGTTATACAGCTATGTGTTTATGTTTGTTTGTTGGTTGTGGTTATAATTGAAGTAAATGAAGAGTGACGTTGAACACGGGATAATGGAGTTGAAGACATTTTGCCGTTCACTGTTCTGTGTTCGGAATTCGGCAATCGGTGTTGTGACAGTCAGCGGTGACAGAGTCACGGAAAACGAGCTCGCAGTGAGGGAAGCGAGTGGATAGAAGGAAGAAGAGAAGCTCGTCCTCTTCCAGTAACGACAGCTTAACAACGAGGGTGGCGTGCAATTTTCTGGGCGGAGACATCGTGGTTGGGGCAGTTGTGTGACAGCTGTTGACATGGGAAACTCGCACGACTCTCTAATTGTTAAAGCTAATGATTTCCTAAGTGATTTTTGAAACTCTACACATGGATTTTATTTCCACATTCTTTAAGCACATGGAATTTTATATGGCATGTTTAGGAACTCTAGACAGGTTACAGACAATTTGGAGCTATTATAGTAGTCCGCAGCTGGTAAAGATTATGCCACGGCTGAGCTTGCCATTTTTGGTTCCATAGCTTTGCAGGCAGTCACAAATTTTAGCTCCCCTTATTACGCGACCAAAGCCCACACGTGTGCCATTGACAACGCTAATGGGCTTGAACGAGAGGGTCATGCAAATGCGTCCAGGGAATCCCATGCAGTATTCCTTGCTGAAGGATAGAACGTAGTTGCAAACGCTATGATCAATTATCTTAGCATCGTATTCAATTGGCTCCTTTAGCGCTGTATTCGGTGCCACCTCTAACTCGACCTCCATCCAAAGGTTGGGAAAGAGCCGTATGACAGAGAAGCGATTGTTCGAGTTACAAATGCAGGCGCGAATCATCTCCAGAACTACGAGGGGAGCTGCTTCCGTGTACAGCTCGACCACTATGCGACCCATTGGACGTACATCTTTTAAATAGACGTCAAAGAAAATGCAGGGTCGTAGGAGTCGCTTACACTCCAATTCTTTTTCGGGCAGTTGCAAATTAAACGCCTCGTACTTGCGCAGGGACTCTGCCGGCACTACAAAGTGCGAGACTTGCTTACGCCTGCCCAAAAATTCGCGGCGGTGCGGATCTGAGGAAAGCTCCAGGCCCGAGTCCACCTCACTACGGACCTCGAGAAGTCGTTTGCCAAACTCCTGGTTCATGCGTTCCAAGCGCTCAACGTTCGAGACCGCGCTCGCATAGCCCGACAGAACAATTGGTTCTTCAAAACGAAAGGGCACGATTGCGCCGTGTGTTCTCATTGTGTGTGACATCTCCGCCAGGAGCATAATATTCTCCCTGGTGCGTTTCATGTACACGTTGGCATCGTCGCGCAGCATGCTTATGCCCGTAACACGGGTCGGATGGAATGTGGGTGGCAGAGCGTCCACTTTTGTTGTAATATTCTTCATGCGTTCAATATGCTGCTCGTAGAGAGCATCATGCACCGCTGAGCCGGAGGACTTTTGCTTTTTGGGAATCTTCTTTTTCTTCGGTTTCACCTTGTTTTTATCCTCTTCCAAGTCGAGCAAGCGCTGGCGCTCTTGTTCTAGCACCTCTTCGGGCACACATTCCGGAAACTCGACTGTCGAGTCCATCATCACGAGTCACTAATTGAAAATTTACAATTGCAATAAACTGAACTGCAGTATACAATCAGGATTCTATTACGCAAAAAAAAATCTAAAATTTTGTTATACCAACAAACCGAAATTCTTAAGTTAAAAATTGAACTGACAATAAACTGAAAACTCTGAAACTAAGTAAAAAACGCCCTTTTCATTTTCTCATTTTCTCTCTTAATACGGGAATAAGGGAAACATCTGTTTTGCAATGGAAGCCAATAGAACCTTTTGTCTCAACTAGCTTCAACTTGACCTACAATATCTATACCCTGTACCCGAATGATAAAAACGGTATATTCGGTTTGTGCAAAGTAGGTATCAGTGAGAATCTTCGACACCATAGGGTATATGTATTCTTTATCAGCATAACGAGAGACATTTATAAAGGCCGCCTGTCTATCTATCGAGCACATCTGCAAGCACAGTGCTTGCTCTTTTATTTCTGCTTGTTTTTGCTTAGTGACTTGTTTTTGTGAATTAACTTTTTTGAGCTTCTCTTCTTTTTCCTCCTCGGCTTTAGTCATAGTTGACTTTCGTCTGAAAATCAGATCCAAAATTTTACGTTTTGCCTTTATTCTTGGTGCATATTTTAATTAGATTTGCTTCTTTCTGGCTAGCATAAGCATCAATAAAAGAGTTAATTCAAAAAACATTATATTTTTCTGGCTTGATTTTGAAAGGAAGAATATTATTATTCTTTAATGTGATTTATGCATTTTTCCCTTAGTTTGTTCTATGTATAATAAGGCACGCAATTTTAATTATGCTTCTAACAATTTATAATATTAACTCCCTGATAGCTTTTCTTGGTGTTTCTTTTTATGCTCGTATATGGACCTTAATAGTAGTTGTGATTGGTGGTGAACTTTTTGCATTGCTTAAAGACTATTTTACTGTAAATAAGACTTTTCGACTTACACAGGACATTGATCGTGTGAGTAGAGACGACGTTTTCTGTCAGTTGCATATTCAATCCATGACATATGACCACTAATGAGCGCTTATTGGGCTCAACAGTGGTGGTGAAGTTGGAGCTGGTTGTCCAACCACCTATAAACAAACAGAGTAAATAAATAAATCAAATATGGATGGATGTGAACATTGTGAAGATGTCAGAGAAGTCAATTCATAAATTTTTAGTTAGTACTCACCTTCCGGACTGACGATGGTCTTTGATGTGGCATTACGTATTTGACGTCCGCCCACCATCCATTTAATTTCGGCAGGTGGATTCGATGGTGCTGTGGTACAAGTTAATGGCACAATGTCGCCAACCCTGGCCTCCGTTGGTCCTGTCACAGTGACATGTGATGGTGCAACTATAGAGTGCAGTGAAAGAGGTCGATTTGATTAGCAGGGTATAATGAAAGAGTAAGCAGGGCTGAACCTGAATCCAAGCTCATCTGTAATTTTACTTGACATTAATATTTAATTCGGCTGCACCAGTGGAATGTCGACTTGCCTAGAAAACTTCGAACACATGCCGTATACTTTATGTACAATCATTTTTGTTTTCTGAAATAGAGTGACTGGTTGGCTGGCTGGCTGGATGGCTAACTGACGACTTGTGTTGCATGCAAATGATGACTAAGTGAGTGACAGACATCCGTGCCTTGTTGAGCTATTACCTAATACCTAATGCTACGCCACAGCAGATGCATATGGCTGCCTCACTCGGCTATGATGGATAAGTGCAGCAGCCAGTGGCAGACGAAGTAGCAGCTAAGGTGGCAGCTATGCATATATTACCCATATGCCGTGTACACATATATGTATACACGCAACTACTTACAGATATACGCCTTGGTCTGGGTCTGAGTCTGGCTGTTGCCATTGGCTAGGCTTTTGAGCCATGGGAGTACAAAACTTCGACTCGATATGTTTCGCATATAAATAAACATTATGAATTCTTAAATTTACGCAACTTTTCAGCTCCACATTACCCATGGTGGAGAGTTCCACCCACCGCTTAGACAGCGCCCATACATCTTCATTCAGTTCATATGTCCCCTCCCTACATTATATGCGAGAAACGTCTTCATTTTCTGTGCCACATTCGGTATACATAAATAATGCGTGTTGTAGCCACGTTCGCTATTCGCCACTGACAGGCCAGCTGATGTTAATGTATATAGTATATGTGTATGTACACAATATATGTATGTCGGCAGCAGCCATTGTGAAACAGTTAGCACGAGCCAAGCAAGGCTCGAGAAGCTCAACAAACGAATTTGTTTTCAACACTACAACACACAATTGTTGATTTGTATGTGCATAAAATTCTGCCGGCTATCTGCACACCACAGGGGCGGGATATATTGAAAAAAAAAAAAAATTATATATACATATATATATGTACATACATTATATTAGCAAGGCAAGGTTATGCTATAAGCAGCAGTTCAAGTTGGCAGCGTTCAATAAGGATTCCGATTTAAAAATGTATGAAGACTAGTGTTAAAGTTTGAGAAGAAAGTGGCAGTGTTGTTGAATCAAGTTTTTCGAAGTGTAAAGCCACACCTTTTGCTTGACTCATTACATTGAGGTACGATCATACATTTTTAAATTGAAATTGAAGTCATAGCTTTATATGAATTTGTAAGGCTAGAGCCCACATAGTAACTATTTCGCATCGACTTGTGACACTGACTTCTGACTAATGAATTAAGCCTCGATTTTCATTTGACATTTATTAAAATCAGATATATGTGTACATACTTAAAAGAGTTAGGTACAAAAAGGTTCAAATTTCAGCTAAATCTGTCTAGAATTAGACAGCAAGCATTGCAAGACGATGGTCAGCTGCGTAATGTGCTGTAAAGTGCAGTTGATGAAAATAACGTCTTGTGTCATCTTAACCAGTGACAATTCAGAGCTGTAGACGTGCATTCTTGAAATTTGAATATCACTCATACGCGGCGTTGCCCTCAAGTTGCCCATTTACATATTACACACACAAAAACATATAGTATGTATCATAGGGGCGCTTGAGTGTGTGCGTGAGTGAGATGGGTAGTGGATGGTTGCGGGAGGCTTGGCAGAGTGTCGCATTTCAAAGCGCTAACGACTTTTGCGAGAAGTGTGCGTCCGCCATGTTGGCTTTGTGCTTGATTGCAATTGTTGTAACTCTAACAAGCTGCAGCTGCAGTTACAGCTGCAACAGCAGAGGCTGGAGAGGAAATGGGAGACGGCTCTATTTGGCACTTGAAAAGAATTTGCATTGCTTGATTTGACAAAGGCAAGTGTTAGGTAGCAAGGACGGTGTTATGGATGGGATGGGCGGTATGTGTTTGTGTGTTGTGTTGAAGAGTCTTTTCGAGTGCAAACTTAAGCTTAATTGCAAAAGAAAGCAACAGCCCAGACGGGCAGACGGGCTTTTTTTAGCAGACCGCCCATCCACCCGTTTCATGTCGCGTGCCAAGTGTAAGTCTGTCAAATTAGAAGATGCCGAGCTGGCTGTTGACATAAGCCATGTGCCTTTGCCAGTGCCTTTGCCTGTACCAGTGCCTCTGTATGCAAATATGAAAATGAACGAAATACAATTAGGCGCTCAGCAGGCGGCAAAGGTGCTGCCAGTGGTAGCTTTCTCGCAAATTGCCTGTCTGCATAACAAAGCATGAAAATTATCTCGCATTTTCCAGGGCGTATGCGTAATTTTAAACAGCAGACGCTTTGATCAAATTAGCGATGAGAGGGTAGGTAGTAGTAGGTAGGGTACTTACATAATACAGCCAAATCAACTTCCGCTTTGAGTGGTGTTTGTGACATCACATTGCTGGCCTCGCAACGAAAGCGCGCCTTATTGTCACCGGCCTCGGCAGTGAATGTGTAAATGTTTTCCGAAAGACGTCCAGAGGTTCTGTGGTACAACGAAAATAAGTGATATTTAGCAGAATTAAAGCGAGTATATTGGCTTATCACTCACCTGTAAGCCATGCGTATTTGAGAGCCATTTTTGTACCAAATGAGCTGGGCTGGAGGATTACCGCCACGACTGCGACATATGAGCTCCACATGCTGGCCACGCCGCAAGGTTTCACCCTGCGAATAGCCCTCGATATAGGGTGGGCCGGGTGGATCTGGTAGTGAAACAAATAACAAATTTAATGGAATTCTGGCACAAACATAAAACTATTTGCTATTAAACTAAGTGCAGTCAAAGCTGTTCAACTGTCGAAACGTGACTTTGGAATATTCTCAAATAAAAATGTATTTAAATGCATTGCTTTTATTATCTATTGCTGATACAACTCATACTTTATTTTTTGGCCACCGAATATTTTCAATAGTTCTTAGTTACATATGTTCCTAGTTGAACAATTACCATCATATTTCAGTTTAAAAGTTAAAGTTGTTCTTGCTATCTAATACACTCAAAAGAGAATGGAATGGAATTTTGTTTGTGCTACTAATAGTTTTAGGATATGAAAGAAGAAGAATGATTTTGTTAAATTTTTTTGCCACTTCATTTGAGTTTAATTCCTAATTCTTCTATATGCATTTTTTGTATATAACTTGCAATCTCTAGCTACTATTAAGATATTGCTGCAATCGCATCGAGCTCCCTTCTTATCGCAATCTATATGGTTTTAGTGAAATGCCCTTTTATGCTTTGAATAACAAATACGAGAGTATACATATTTAACTGCAGCTGCAGCACACAAATAAATTCAATTTACACTAAAACAAATGAAGACCTGACTGGCCAACAAATATAGTAGGCTTTTTTCAGCTCGTACATTTCCATCTGCTGCCATCCACATATGCTAAATGTTATTTTATTTTTGTGTGCTGTGTTTGGTATATAGTTTTTAATTGAAGTGTTTGCATGCAAATCGTTTATGCGGTCAAACGCATTATTTTCCGATTTCCCTTTTTTGTTGCAGGCTGTTTTTCCCTTTTTACTTTTTGGTGCGCTTGCCGCAAAGCAGGATTCGCTTTGAGCTTAACATTTGGTGGGCGGCCTGTTAAAATATGCATGTTATTAAAATGACACAAATGGTCGCAGTAATTTTTGTGTTGTGGGCGTGTCTGAGGGTGAGGTGAGTGCGGTTAATATCAGTGTAAATACCGCAAACAGTTAAATACACAAACACAGCATGGGTATTTTTGTTCGGTTTCACAAAAGTATCTCTTAAATACTGTTTTTTTTTTAATGTCAGGTATTAAAAATAATATGTCCAATTAAGTAGAGGGAAAGCTGCGAAAATGAATGGGAAAGCAACAAACTAAACAAGCTTTTTGGTCCCTTAAGTGCATGTAAGTCAGACTCTTTAGACAGATGTTAGGAGTGCTAACTAATAAAGCAATGAAATCTTTTTGGCAATCAGGCATTGAAAAAATCAGCAAAAAATATTTTTGTCTAATAACTGCAGGGGAAAACAGAAAGGAATGTTTTAAAAAAATCAGAGCTTTTACAATAGAGCTTTATAGTTTTGTATTTCAAAAAATCAAATTTGTATTGAATATATCCTTATGGGATGGTCAAGTACATTACATAAGCAAAAACAATACAATATTTTCATATGATCTCTTTAGTGATTTTGTAATTTGTAATTTTATCGAATTAAATGGAAAACGTGGAGAGAAATGCCCAGAAATTGTAATTCGTGTAATCAAAAAAATTTGTTGCTCGCAATAAATATCGATTTACTGGTTGTAGGTGACTTGTAGAATTATGAAGGGCCCGAAGCGGGTAGGACTTTCCCATTTAACGGAGAGAGAGAGAGAGAAGATAATTTTAATCGGATTTAGAAAAATATTTTACATTATTAGACAAGAATGTGGTAGAAGAAAATTTGTGGGTTAATAGGTATAATTTATGTTATACTTTATAAACTAATTCGTTAAGCATAGCTATCAATCCATAAGCATTAAAAACCTAATATACTATCTTTTCCACATACATACAAGGAGCGTTCCAAAGTAAATAGGACTTTTTGAATCTAGCGCCCCCTGGTGCCGCTATCTATATGTCGACTAGTGCGTTCGAATCTGCTATCTTTATCGATTGTCCAGTGAGAATTTCATGACATTTCATAGATTGGAAGTGAAGTTATTGCGTTTTAAGTGTCAGTATGTTTGTGTTATCGGTGCGAAAATGAGCTTCGAACACAGAGCCAACATTAAATTTTGTTTTAAAATTGGTAAAACTTTTACAGAAGCGTTTCAATTGATGGAACAAGCTTATGGCTATGATTGCCTATACCGTAGCAGAGTGCACGAGTGGTTTCAACGTTTTCAAAGGGCCGTGTCCTCACGATGACGATCAACATGTGGGCCAATCAAAATTCGTGATCACCGAAAATTCCATCGAAACGGTGCATGAATTCATCAAAAATCAGCCGAAATCATCATTGAAATTGATCGAAATGGAATTGAACATCTCCAAAATATCGATTTATCGCATTTTGACGGAACATTTGGGCTTACGAAAGGTGTGTGCAAAGACAAAAACTTCCTTTACAATATTGTGACTGGTGACGAAACGTAGTATTTCCAATATGATACCGAAACGAAACGCCAGAGTGCTGAATGGAAGGCACCGGGCGAGCCCAAACCCAAAAAATCGCGCATGGAGAAGTCGAAAGTGAAGACAATGCTGATTTGTTTTTATGATTCCAAGGGTATTGTCCACAAAGAATTTGTTCCACCCGGCCAAAACGTTAATGCGGTATTCTACCTTGGAGTTTTGAAGCGTTTGGTTCGCCGTATTCGACGTGTTCGACCCGAATATCGCGAAGATGATAGTTGGCGTTTGTTGCACGATAATGCGCCGTCTCATCGATCGACGCTTGTGACCGATTATTTGACCAAAAATCACATTTTAACCATTACCCACTCGCCATATTCACGTGATATGTCACCGTGCGACTTCTACCTTTTCGGAAAAATGCATTTGCCCATGAAAGGAAAGCGTTATGCAGACGTAGAGGCCATTCAAAAGGCTTGCACCGGCATTATTAATTGATTTTGCCGAAAAAAACATTTGTTCAGGTTTTTTTAAATGTCCTGCTTACTTTGGAACACATCTTGTATATCTTTATACATAAACAAGAGAGAACGCTACAGTCGAGCAAGCCTGACAGTAGAGTACACTGAACTCTCTACAAAAAAAGAAAAATTAGAAGAAAATAAAAATAAAATAAATAAAAAATATTCAATACATATGTACAAACATGTAAGATGTTTATTATAAATGTTTATATTAATGTTTATATTAAAGGAATATGATATAGTATTATAAATCAATGTGGGATAAGTTAAATACAACTGATTTAAAGGAATATGAATTACAAACTACAACGTTGACACACTGCTACGGACGAAACAACTTCTCTTCACGACTTTCTCAGCTCGACCTCTCTCTCACGACTCCACTGCTCTACTGTGTCTCTCTGTGCGGAAAAGGCAGGATGACAATACTCTTGTGTGTTGCCACCTTACATACTTACATACATACAAAGTACATTTTCTACAGCATACATACATTTACATCTTCGTGTCTATGGAATAAGTCAAAGCAGCAACAACAACAACAGCTGCGGGCAGAGCTTCGGCAGAGAATATATTTATGGCTATAACTTTCTTCATAATTAGCCTATCGTAATAAAACTTGGCATAAGGACTCATAATCACTAACTGGGGGTATTTTTCCAAATCTGAGGGTAAACACTACGTCAAAAACACACGAACTGCGAAGGAGTGGGGAGTGAATCGAAGAAAAACTCAAACTCGTACTTTCTCGGTCTTAGGAGAATCTGGATACCAAGTTTGGTTGTTCTAGCTCTTATACTTTCTGAGATCCTTGCATTCATACGGACGGACAGACGGATATGGCATTAGCGACTCTTCTTGTCATCCTGATCAATAATATAAGTTAACACCCAGCAACATAACACCCAACGTTGCTGCCCCCTTCTGACACCCGCCACTGTGGCCCCTTCCGTACGCCGACCATGACCATCAGCAGCGAACGTTGACCCGCCAAACTGCAGCGGCGCTGCCACGTCCTATATTTTCTATGTTTCGACCTAGGAATTCACAACTAGTTCAAGTAAATCTAAGTAGACTATCGGTTCCAAATCAACACATAAGGTCCTCAAAACCAACAAACTATAAAATAAGAAAGAGTATTAAAACAAAGAGATTTAATAAATAAATAAACACTAAAAGGTAACCCATCATATGGGTGACCTTAACTTATATATACTTTTGGGGGCTTGCCACTCCTCCTTCTGTAGATACATACATTCGCACAAAACTAGTCTACCGTTTTTGCCTTTGTGTACAGGGTATAAAAAGGGAAAATTTTATGCTCACAAATAATTTGATTATCTATCAATATCTTATATTCGGTCATCCACATTAAAAATAGGAAAACAGCCGAAAAACCTTTCAAATTTCCAGTCGATCCACCTATACACATAACAGTTTCACATAAACGTATAAACAATAAATTCGGGTGTGTGACACTACAACACACTCTCACACTACTCACGACTAGTCTAAAGAGTGGCAGCACAAAATTAAATTAAAATCACTTAAATATTGAAACGCCACGGTAGTGCATGAAGCGCACTCGCACATTTCTTCCTCGTTTGGGTGTGCATTTATGCTTATGTAAATGCGCGTGGGTGTATCTCTGTATGTGCGAGTGAGTGTAGCAGAATCCGAATCCGATTACGGCAGCGGGGAGGCACAATAATAGCGCATAATTAAAAGCCACAGAGTGAGCCACGAATGAGCCACCGCCCATGCCTATGGCGTGTGCGCGCAGAAAAAATGGCAATATAGCACGGGAAAATTTATCAAAATGTCTCCCGGGATATAATATATGAGTGCATTTAATAGGTATGGAGAAAAATGTTTCTTATGGCATAAAATATTCGATATGCTTTTCCAAAGTTGTAAAATGTTGTTCACTAATGGGGGAAAATGTTCTGTTTCCGATGAAAATCTGTACTTACTATAAATTGATATCAAGTAGCAACAAAAGTAATGTTTTTCAATCTTGCAATACTTTGATTTTAGATAGTTTTGCTTTAATTTGTATTACGTATTAAGTACTATTACAATTTAATCAAACATCTTTGGCAATGAAAAAAAGTCTACTACAAAACTAAACTGAGTGAATCATTCTTAAAAAAAAGTTTGTCATGGAGAAAACGAAGGCATAGCCATCTTAAAAACCAGCAGACGAAATAAATAGATCATTGGGATAGATTTTTATACCCTGTACCCAAAGGTACAGTTTTGTGCGAGTGTACATGGAACATACAGAAGGAGGCGTGGCAGACCCCACAAAGTATATATATTCTTGATCAGGATGACAAGCCGAGTCGATATAGCCATGTCCGTCTGTCTGTCAGTCTGTCTGCCTGTCTGTATGAGCGCAAGGATCTCAGAAAGTATAAGAGCTAGAATAATCAAACTTGGTATCTAGATTCTCCTGAGCCCGAGAAAGGACGAGGTTGTTCATTTTTTCTGATCCACTCCCCCCTATTCGCGATTTTCTATAACTCCCGTAATTCTTGAAATTTTGAACTAAAATTTGGTAGTCACATTAAGTTAGTTATTATATATTCGTACACCAAGTTTCAGTATAATAGGTTGCTCAGTTAGTTATAGCCATATAACCAGGCCCAAGCTGTGTCCGCAGCTGTATTTGCAGTCCTCTCTTGTAACAAATTCAAAAATTGTCTCTTTAAACAATTTAAAATAAAGTCTGTTTGATCCAATGTCTGTACAAACAAAACAACTGTGGGAGTTTGCATAATCGAAAAAAATACGATTTTGACGTGTAGCGTGTGATCTACAAGTAGTTGAGAGTACAAAAGGGTACTAAAATAGGGATTTTTTTTATAAAATAATTATAACAAGAGAGAACGCTACAGTCGAGCAAGCCCGACAGTGTAATACCCTGTACCCAGACGAATATCCGTCACTGAGTTATATGCGCCCATAGCAGCAGCAAAAAGAGGAAGAAGAAGAGCGAACTTGTTGCTGCAGTTTGGGGGGTTGTACTGGCGAGAATTTGTTTCGCTAATAACTTTTCTTAGAATTGACCGAATTGAATAAAATTTTGAACAACAGTAGACAATTATATATAAATTATGTGTGCAAAGTGTGGTTTAGGTAGCATTTGAAATGTGGACGCTATTGACGAAATTCTGCAGCGGGGGAAGGGGGGGAAAATAAAAAAAAAAAATAAACTCGTCCTTACTCGGACCTAGGAGAATCTGGATGCCAACTTTGGTTATTCTAGCTTTTATAGTTTCTGAGATCCTCGCGTTCATCCAGACGGACGGACAGACGGACAGACGGACGGACAGACGGACGGACAGACGGACAGACGGACGGACATGTCTAGATCGATTTCTCTCGTCATGCTGATCAAGAATATATATACTTTATGGGGTCGGAGATGCTTCCTTCTGTATGTTACATACAACCTAATATACCCTTTTTACCCTACGGGTACAGGGTATAAAAATATTTAATTATGTTCGCTTATATAAAACCATCGATGTACATATTCCGAGGCTTCAAAACATCATCCTCCGCCTAGTTTATTTTAAATTTGAAGTTTTAGTGCAATTTCAGAAAAAATTCCATAAGTCTCGAAATCAATCAAAAGAAGAGCAAAAGTCTGTCAGCAACATGTTTGTAAAGATGTACAGGGGCACAGCATGGGACTTCAATGAAATATTATGAACAAATGACAGAATTGCTCAAATCAATGCAGTTTCTAAATTAAATATAACGTTGGTAATGTGCATGGCTACCCGTCGTTTTGGTTGACCAGCATCAAACAATCAATAAAACGATGTCGAGAATCCAAATGGGTCACAGGCACATCAATGCAGCTCCTGTGCCAGCGTGTCGATGCGTGCACCAGCTGTGCGGAACATTAGAATTTAAAAACTAATTAATACGCGCGCCAATTGCGCAATTAGTGGCACTGGGTTCGTTCGGTATGTGAGCGGAACCAGAGGGGTGGGGCTTGTAGCATTGGGGCTCAGAACTGACGCGGAAGCATTTTGTGGGTCAGCTTGCGGCGCATAAACACAATTTGTTCAGATGGGAAATACTATGCATATTCGTATTTATGTGAAGGTGCCCGTCTACCTGATATATAGTACAAATAACTGTGCGGGAGAACGCTCAATTGCATTGCAAATTTGTAGGCCACAATTAAACTGAACTGATTGATTAAAGCAAACATTCTACTTATATACATATATAGGCATATACAATATGTACTCACACAGCACGGACAATTGCACAGTTGCTCGCATTGGCATATCTGGCGATAGAGCCTTGTGCTTGGCCTGGCAGGAGTATTCCGTATAATCATCATCGGCACCTGGCTTCAGTTTTAAGCTGGAGGTTGTTGTAAAGCGTTTGGGGGTAGACTCTTCCACTTTGTCATCGCGCTTATCTGTAACAGGATTAAGGATTATATATAAAAGGCTGGTTTTATACAAGTTATATAAGTAATGTTTAATAAAAGATATAAGTACGAAAGAATTCTTGATAAATGTGCAAAGAGCATTTGTTTGCATAAAATCTCGCTTTTATATTAACTTTTTAACATGTACTTCTTTGCTCAATAAATTCTTAAATCATTTAAAATAATTAAAGCCATTATACCAATAATAAACTTTACGTAATAAATACATAACTCTCTATTATTGATTTCAATTAAATCGAATTTGATTGAATCTAAGAAAAATTATAGAAACTAGTTGAAATTTGATATAATTAATTATTATGAAATTAATTATATTGAAATTGTGTTTTTTGTTGCAACATAATAATACTCGTGCATCCAATATTCTAGTATTCCTGAATTAGAAATATTAATGAGTCTGCAGATATTTATATGGGCATGTTTAGGGCAAAAAGCATTCATATGCGAATTCGGTGGCTAACGCATACTATATGTATGTGGACGTACATTCACGTCAAATCACATCATAATAAATAACGACGCAACTGTTGCGCACACTCGCAGATGTGCTCATTAACACTCGCAATGCAGCTAAGGACAAAAACAATCCACATATTTGAATATGTGCGAGTAAGTATGTTTCATTATATTATCAAGAGCACAGCATATGCGAATGAATGATAAATGTCTGCACGTCGTGCCGAATGGTGGCGATTTGTCATAATACTCGGGCGGAGCAAAAAGAAAGAAAAACAACGTCAACTGCAACGAACGGTACGCAAATGGAAATTGGCACATGGGCCAGGGCTTGACTAACCGACTGACTAACTGCCTGATTCACTGATGCCCAGATGTGTCTGTTGTTATTCGTCAACTCATCTATGCCAACATTCTTGACGACATTTTAAAAATTACATATCATTTGCCGCCAGAAAGTCGCTGCCATAAAGCTTAACGCATATTTTAGAAAGATTTCGTTGCACATGCCAAAAATTAATATGTTTATCGTGTGCGTGTTTTGGCATTCCTAATATAGTATATATTATTTTTCGCAAGTCATAATATTTAATATGTCTTGGCAATTTATTCACTTTTTTTTGGCAAAGAGAATGTTTATTAAAAAGTGTAAACGGAAGCTGTTTGATCTTAAGAATTTTACTTGTATTGAAATTTGTCTTTGAAGGAAGACAGTTAAGGGCTTATAAAGATGTAGACGTGTAATTCGCTTTTTTGGTAAAGAATTCTAATGAAAAGTTATAATTCCCGGATATTTATTGGATTTACTCATAAAGGTATAAAATACGAATATTTTTTATATTTTATAATGTAAGTGAAAGCAAATAATATGTTGAAAGAGTTTGAAAACATTGCGATAGCTTCCAAGGAAATTCTTTAGTATGTCAGCGGTGCAAAGAAGGAGGTAACAATCATTGTAAGATAGTTAGCAGCACTATGCCGCTTATTCCATCGTCATATTTTCCGCTGGGCATAATTCAATGCGCTCAGAAGTATGCTACGATGTTGTGCACATTTTTATTATATTTCTTCTTTAAATGAGTGGAAGTGTCCAGAAACTTAAATACTATAGTTCGTCATTGTGTTCAGCGGCAGCATCTATAAATTAAATATCAGGATATCTATGTAAATGTCTGCCTGTGCGGGTAATCATCAACAACATCGGCTATGGAAACAACAACAACAACATTTACAAGATCTGGCACCGTGACACATTAAACATCATTTACGCACTCGGCCACACACGAGCAGCCGTGTACTGTCTAAAAGACCCAGTTACTGACAGTTTGCAAATGATACTCCCGCTGATGCTGACGGTGGTGCTGAGGCTATTGTCGTAAACCCTCATTGCCACCGTTTTCAACTACCAACAACAAGCAAGCAACTACTGACTGCCGCAGTCCAGCCGCAACATATTGCGTCATAAACATAATTCATCATGCAGCGCTTCCTTTCTCGCTCAGCCCACATTTCCTTTCGGGTCTTCCTACATTTTAACGCTCTTTGCTTCTTTTTTATTTTTTTTGTTCGCCGTCTTTCTCTCATTTTATGTTTGCCCAAAAATTTCCATCATCATCAGCAGCAACAGCAGCTACGACGACGGAGTCGTGCGTTTTACATTTCAAGCATTTTTAACGCGCCAGTTGTGTTAAAATGATTTCGTTAGCCGCTAAATGACAGGCAGTCGCTGCCAAACCAAACATTGCGTCCCTATGGGCATCAGCGCCCAAAAGGGGCACAAACACACACATACACATTCTGGCATGTGCACAAACTCACACAAACATATGCACATGTATGTGTATCATAATCATTATGAAAATTAAAAGTCGTATGCGATAAAGAATAAATGGCATGGGCTGGCTGAAGCAAGTGTGGTGATGGGATATCAGCTAAACACCGTGTGATGATGATGTTGATGTTCTTGCTGCTGTTGCTGGTGGTGGTGCTGGTGCTATGAGGACGACCAGCATCAGCATCCGCCATTCACAACAGCGTTGACATTTGCATTTTTTCATATTTCCCAAAAAGCGGTCTTCGTTCTTCGTTTTTCCAATTTGCTGCCCAACAAAATGACAAGGCACAAATAAAATTGCACACACACACATATGCAGACGCATACATATGACAATATACAAAAATAAGCTATAGAAAAAAATGAATATAAAGGGAAACACCAACATCGACCGTCACCATTTTGCTGGAGTATAAAATTATTATTTAAGCACCGTCATCAAGCAAAAAGTCGACGTCCATTCACATGTTCGGCTCGGAGGCTGAGGTACAGGCTGAGACTTAAGCGAACCGATTGCAGATGCCTGAACGCCGCCCGCACTCATCCCTACACTTAGACCATTTACACTTTTTCTCCTTCTTGTTTTTATGCCTCGGAGTGGAGCTGAGTGGATCAGCTTGGCGTACTGCAACCGATCGATACAACTTTGAGGGACATTAGAGGCCCTAAGTATTTGAGAGTGAGTATAGATGTGGATGTGTATGTGTGTGTGTGAGTGTGCCTAGCTGTTTGCCTGTTTTTGTGTAAGTGGACATTAAATTTGATGGCTTAGTGTTGCTGTGACAAGTGTCAAACACTTCCACATCCACTTGGAGTTGCCTCTGCCAGTGGCGGGCATGAACTTGATTACACGCGTTTAGCAATTTGAGCTGCTAGTTGCTGCTGCTGCCCGTTTTATGGCTAACTTGACGGTCAATGTAGACTTAATAAAAATTTGCAAGGTAATAGAAAAACCCTGTGACGTGCAGAATTGCTTAGCTCGCCTCAAAATTTGACCCCCAATTTTAAATTTGCTTATCTACCATATAAGACTCTTCCTCAGAATGATCTTTAATATGAGAAACTTGTCATATATTAAATTTTTTTATTATACTCTGTACATAAAATGTACAAAAGTATATTAGGTTTCCGGGAGCTGAAAATGTAACAGGCGGAAGGAGGCGTGGCAGACCCCACAAAGTGTATATATTCTTGATCAGCATGACGAGACGAGTCGATCTAGCCCTGTCTGTCTGTCAGTCTGTCCGTCCGTATGAACACCTGGTTCTCAGAGACTATAAGAGCTAGAGACGTGCAGAATTGCTTAGCTCGCCTCAAAATTTGACCCCAATTTTAAATTTGCTTATCTACCATATAAGACTCTTCCTCAGAATGATCTTTAATATGAGAAATTTGTCATATATTAAATTTTTTTATTATACTCTGTACAAAAGTATATTAGGTTTGCGGGAGCTGAAAATGTAACAGACGGAAGGAGGCGTGGCAGACCCCACAAAGTGTATATATTCTTGATCAGCATGACGAGACGAGTCGATCTAGCCCTGTCTGTCTGTCAGTCTGTCCGTCCGTATGAACACCTGGATCTCAAAGACTATAAGAGCTAGAGACACCAAATTGTGCACAAAGATGTCTTTTGCGTGTACGCTGTGCAAGTTTTTTTTTTTTTTTTGTTTTTGGTTCACCACCCCATTTTCCATTCGTATAATCGCCTATATCTCGGAGACTATAAGACCTAGGGACTAATTATAATAAGGAGAAGATAAATATTATATAGTAAATAAACTTATAATTGTAAGCAAAAATACTGAGTCCATGAAAGATGGGCAAGCATTAAACTGTACTCAAATTATTTATTAGGTAAATGTAGAATTTTGTTCATCTTTATGACCAACCGCTAGTACAGACCTGGTTTATATTCCACATTTCCGCGATACCAAATAATTTGGGCGGCGGGCTTAGCATTGGCTACAATGCACTTGAGTGCCAGGTCTTGATTCTCGCGGACTTCCACCTTCGAGTTGTGACTGTAGCCCTTGATTTCAATTGATGCCGGTGGTGCTGTAAGAAGAAAAGAATTGCAATTAATGGGGGCATAGTGATAAGGCAGAGGTGCAATTAAAAGCTATAATTTCGCATGCGACTCAAGGCTGGACGAGCCATTTGCAGTCTCCAATATCAGCTATGTCTAAAGGGTTTGTGAGGCAGCAGTGAAAAATGCAGCCATAAACAAACATCAAGTAAATGTTGCTTTAGGAGAGTGGCATAATGGAATATGGTGGGATAAAACGGATAAAACGTCTGTAGTAGAGAAACAAAAGCTAACGACTGCAAACGATAGCGGCATTTTCTCTCATTATACGACAATAAAACACGGCGGTCGCTTGGCTGGCGTGGGCGGCATTGTTGCTGCTTTTACTGCTGTTACTGGGCGTGGCAGGTCTTGCATACGCATTGTTTGTTTCTTGCCTGCCTGCTTGCCTGCCTGCCTGCCTGCCTGAAGACTGCAGACATTGTTGTGCAAGCATTTGTGTGGCTGAAGCGCTCGTCGAAGTTGTTAAGTCTTATGCCGTAAGTTGAATGTCCGCCGGAGCAGTACGGCAGTACGCAATGCCTGCAGTGCTTACTGCCACACCCACTGCCCAGTACCAACCGCCCCTTGCCATCTATCCAAGTCTACAGCACATCTCCCAATGCTCGCCAGCAGTGCTCGTTCGTCGCCTGTTTCGTTGTTAATGTGCTCAAATATGAGTTTCAATATTTGCTCACAGCGAGAAGACGAGTGGTAGTAGGTGGGTTGGGAGCATTGGGAAGAGGAGGACTGCTGCCTGACAAACTGTTGAAATATAGACAAGCAAAACAATGCAATTCAGAACGGAATGGAGAATGGAGCATGGTGCATGGAGCATGAAGCACGGAGAGACTGTGAGGCTGGTGGCGGTTGAATGCAGCAGCAAGAAAGCAAACAAACAAACAATCGTGGATAAAGTTAAGTGCACGTGTGCATTATTTTAATGCCACCTGAAGGAGTTGGCAACCATTGCATCTTGTGGTGCTGCGCCAGAACGATTGCTGCTGTAGAGCGACTAAAACAAACACGTCAGTAGTGCAGCAACGTGCTGCAAAAACTCGCGTTTGGAGTTCATGTGGGGAGTCTGCCTGGAGGCACTAAGAAAAAATTGGGTAGCAGTCTCTACGCGACATATACATAGGCGTCCTTTCTTCATCTCGTTGCAATGGAGCAGCGGGTGTTGTATTAAAAATGTGAGAGTGTGACTCTGGCTATGCATTTGACATGCAACATATGTTGCCAACCGACAACCGACACACAAACACAACATATAAGGAGCCTTAGAAAAAGCGTACAGAAGTTGTTGCATGCGAAATGAATGCCTAATGCGGCGCAAGGGGCCAGGAATGGTGGGAGGAGCTGGGAAGAGAAGAGGCTCGACATGGTGTAGAGTGATGTTGGACAGAGCGTCATTGGCAGCTTGGGCTTCCGTTATGTATAAGGTTCTTCGTTTTGTTGCCACACTGAATTGAATCAACGCCGCGAATTATTGCGGTGTACCGAGCTACTATACAGAGACATCACAAAAGCAAAGCCTCAGCAGTAGGAGAAATTACTTCAATCTTTTTGAAAATAAGGTACCATGTTTGGTATGCATTATTTTGAAAAGGCGAAGCACTAAAAAATTGTATCGTTTATCAAAATGCCGTAATTATTATTCACCAGATAGGGTTAACAATTTTTAAAAGTGGCCCAACAGCTTCTTTTATATTTTCGTATCCTGAAATATTTATCTTTAACGATTAAAAAAAAAACGATTCATATATTTGTATTTATTTAATTTTACAACCTTTTCACAAACACCATACAGAAGATGAACAAACTTCATGCATTTTAGGAAAACGTCAAATACGCGAAATCATAATTATTATTATCATAATTCATTAAAACCATTCCGAATTTCTAGGCAAAACTTAAGGTATCATTAAAATAATTATAATAAGCTGAGTTTTCTCCTTTTACCCATCAGAAACAAGACTTTTTTACACTGCAAAAAACTCGACTTTGAATTCTCGGTTGGGCTATCTTATATACATACCCATGTATGTATGTTAGTAAAGACTGTGGAGAGTCATTTCTCAATCTCTATCATATTTCAGATTAAATCAATCATATTTCAGAAGGTCTCGCGAAACAGTTGAAGTTGAGTTATTGAGTTATTAGATATAGTTATTGAGTTATTGAGTTATTAGATATAGCTGTATCTTCTCCAAAAATAAATTTTTTAGCCGTATTGGCACTTAGTATGAAATGATCAAACTGTATATTTTTCATTATATACATTTAGAAAATAGTATACCACATAATTGAATTTGTTGTTTAATTAATAGCCGATTTCTGAATGTGTTATATTGACTTTCGAACTCAACCATAAATTAAATGCAATAAAATTGCCTTTTCTTATAATTGATTTTCTAAGCGAAGCCTTTGCCAAAAGTACAGATTTCAAATTTAATATTACATTTTCTTTCATTCAATCTTAAACGTCAACAATCAAACGTCCCTCTGCTTAACAATATATATGGGTTTTTTCCTCTGCGCCCCTGGCCTGTGTGGTTGTGTGACAGTTGCGTTGTTTGTGAATTTTATTAGCCTAGCTGTAGGCGCATTAAATTATTATGCACAAATCAAATATACAAACACAATGCGTCGTGTGACATGCGTGCATGTGTGGGTGCGAACATAAAAAAGTCTCACACACACACACCAGGATGTCTACAAAAATCACACACATGAAAGTGTATATGAATCGAAAAATCGCAAACACATACATTGTTTGGTATATTTATACAAATATGTATGTATACTCGTACGAGTATATGGATATACATACTATACATGTAGTACTTTGTATAAAAACGTTCGTTTTTGGGACAACGTACTATGCATATGCCAAGCAGACCCTACGGCTGTGTAATTTTATTTTTTTTCGCACACAAGCATCGCACACCACCAATGGTTCATTTGTACCTTCATTGCGATTCCCATTCGTATTTGCGCTGTGACCCGACGCGGGCATTGATTATTTTCATTTTGAATTTTTCTGATGTTGGAGCTGCCTCTTAAGCCCGAGGAACTTAGGAGCCTCACACATATCTAATTTCTGTGGTGAGGTTTCGCTTGGACGTGAAGTGTTCATGGTTTGCGGGAGCTGAAAATGTGACAGGTAGAAGGAGACGTGGCAGACCCCACAAAGTATATATATTCTTGATCAGCAGGACGAGACGAATACCAAGAGAGGTAATCGATCAACTTTTTATTTTAATTTTCTGAATTTTTTGAATTTCGTTAATTATCCTAAACATAGGTATAGAGTATTTCAAAGTCGAGACACCCGACTTTAGCTTCCCTGCTTGTTGTTGGAATTGACTTTGGTATAACTTATACTATAAATCTACTAAAGCTTACATTTATTGCTAAAAGTAAGCCACAGCTTAAAACAAGAGCGGGAAATACAATTAACAGCATTTTTTTAAATGGAAGAAATATGAACTCGGCTAACTAAATCACTAATGACAACTCAAATTATGACTCTTTAAAGAAAGTGCAAGCAGATTTCTGTATTTAAGTATCATTGTAGCAGGTTTTCGTCAAATACAACAAGCCACATTTAGATATTGATGCACAAATACTTTAACCAAGTTGAACCGCTGAGATCATTATTTTATTGTCCGTTCCAATTTCAGAAATGAATCAAACATGAGTACCTAGAGTATGTTTCGATTTGTGGGGAACTAAATTGTCATATGTTTGATGTGTTTGTCTGCAATGACTCAACAACTTTACGACAACTGTAACATTTTGATTTCTGGCATACTCGCGGCAGACACAGCTGTGGCGGGAAGTAGCTGGTTGGGCTGGACTCTGTCGACTCAATCGATGGTGATGGAATGTCACGAGAACTGGTATCCTTGGTAAAAGTTTTTGAGCAGTTATTGGTGAAGGAGAGGAAAGGAAACGAAAGGAGGGGTGCACATAGGTGTTCTGATCTAACCGGGTACATTCATCGAAAATTCATAATGCTCGTTTTTGGCAGCTCCGTCTCGATTCGGTGCATCGAATGGTTAAGATGGATGATATTAATGCACATTTTATTTTTTCTTGAGTAGAGTTCAGAAAAATGCAACACGACTGCGGGAAGAAAAGGGTACTATCGGTTAGATAGTAGTAGTGGAAATAAAAATGTATGCGGACGATGTATACTCATTGTTATGGGTGGGTGGGTGTGTGCATTGTTGATTGAAATGCAAATTGAATTTGATTATTGACATATGCATGGCATGCATGCACCTTGATGAACACATTCCTGCCGATGCTCCCAAACTGTTCAAAGGTTGCAGCCTCAATTGCCGGCTTACACCTCGGATTATGAGCAAAACAAGAAAGGAATGCTAAAGTCGAGCAGGCTCAACTCTTAAATACCCTGTACCACCCCATAAAAAAAAAATTATTAAAAAAATTTAATTAATTAAATTAAATGTAAAATATTCCATACATAAATTTACATCAGAATCGTGTCTATGCGTGCTTGTGTACTTGTACATATGTATGTATGTGCATTACATAATTATGTCAAAGCAGCAACAAATACACCTGTGGACAGAGCTTGGGCCTTGTTATATGGTTATAATTTTCTTTCTAATCAACGTATCATAATGAAACTTAGATACGGATATATAATCACTAACTGGATGTCAGTACCAATTTTAGTTAAAAATTCCAAGAATTACGGGAGTTATAGAAAATCACGAATCGGGGGGGAGTGGGGAGGTGCATCGGGAAAAATGAACAAACTCGTCCTTTCTCGGGCTCAGGAGAATCCGTATACCAAGTTTGGTTATTCTAGCTCTTATACTTTCTGAGATCCCAGACAGACGGTCAGACGGACAGACGGACATGGCTATATCGACTCGGCTTGTCATCCTGATGAAGAATATATATACTTTGTGGGGTCTGCCACGCCTCCTTCTGTATGTTCCATGTACACTCC